GTAGTATGGATTGATATGTAAACTGACTACTGTCCTCAATATACCATGTAATAGTGAGAATGTATGTAAAATTTAGTAGTATGGATTGATACGTAATCTGACTACTGCCCTCAAAACACTATGCGATACTGAGTACGTATGTAAAGTCTAGTAGTATGGATTGATACGTAAGCTGACTACTGTCCTCAATATACCATGCGATACTGAGTACGTATGTAAAGACTAGTAGTATGGATTGATACGTAAACTGACTACTGCCCTCAATATACCATGCGATACTGATTGCGTATGTAAAGTCTAGTAGTATGGATTGATATGTAAACTGACTACTGCCCTCAATATACCATTCGATACTGAGTACGTATGTAAAGTCTAGTAGTATGGATTGATACGTAAACTGACTACTGCCCTCAATATACCATGTGATACTGATTACGGATGTAAAGTCTAGTAGTATGGACTGATAAGTAAGCTGACTACTGCCCTCAATATACCATTCGATACTGAGTACGTATGTAAAGTCTAGTAGTATGGATTGATACGTAAACTGACTACTGCCCTCAATATACCATTCGATACTGAGTACGTATGTAGGGTCTAGTAGTATGGATTGATACGTAAACTGACTACTGCCCTCAATATACCATTCGATAATGAGTACGTATGTAACGTCTAGTAGTATGAATTGATACGTAAACTGACTACTGCCCTCAATATACCATGCGATACTGAGTACGTATGTAAAGTCTATTAGTATGGATTGATACGTAAACTGACTACTGTCTTCAATATACCATGCGATACTGAGTAGTATGTAAAGTCTATAGTATGGATTGATACGTAACCTGACTACTGTCCTCAATATACCATGCCATACTGAGTGCGTATGTAAAGACTAGTTGTATGGATTGATACGTAAACTGACTACTGCCCTCAACATACCATGTGATACTGAGAATGTATGTAAAGTCTAGTAGTATGGATTGAAACGTAAACTGACTACTGCCCTCAATATACCATGCCATACCGAGTCCGTATGTAAAGTCTATTAGTATGGATTGATACGTAAACTGACTACTGCCCTCAATATACTATGAAATACTGAGAATGTATGTATAGTAGTATGGATTGATACGTAAACTGACTACTGCCCTCAATATACCATGTAATACTGAGTGCGTATGTAAAGACTAGTTGTATGGATTGATACGTAAACTGACTATTGCCCTCAATATACCATTCGATACTGTGTACGTATGTAAAGTCTGGTCTTTACTAGACTCGTCACATCCGACAATGTACAACACACACACTTACATACATACATAACGTAAGGTGCATGCCAGGTGCGGCCACGTATGTGCAGTCGGTCCGGCGAACCATTTATTTAACAAAACACACTAATAAAGCCGACTAAAAAACGGCTGCCATTACATTGCATGTAGTGTTCAGATTGAATTAAACTGAATGCGAGAAGAAATAACCTGCATGGACTGCAAAAAAATCGACTATTGATGCTCGGCAAATGCCACTGACATTACTCATTAAAACATTAAAAATAACTGACAAAAACATGGACACAAATAGTAAACCCCCGTTACTGGCACGCCGACCGCCGAGGAAAAAAACAGGAATAAAAAAGCCCTTTGGGGGACAAAAAATACCTGGAAACCTGTACCCGTCGCACTGTCGAACGTGCCCAGGGGAAGGTGGCGGGTGTCGCCCTGTATTATACAACAAGCATTAACAAACTTACAAAATAACCAGTTGAAAACTGCACTGTAGCGAGACTGGCCAAGATTGACAGTCAACCTTCTGTCCTCCACTTAAATACCCCTTGTCACATGACTCCACATACCATACCCGTCTGTTTGCCATCACGAACAGACAATAGTTAACCGCTATACTGCGAAACGCGGTTAACAATATGTCTTTACTAGACTCGTCACATCCGACCATGTACAACACACACTTACATAACGTAAGGTTCATGCCAGGTGCGGCCACGTAGATAAAAAAAAGAACGGGCCCGTACACCTACAAAGTTTGCGAAATCTCCGTAACATTTTTACAGGGCACGCAACTCAATCGAGTCTAGAAATAACGACTGTATTACCCTGTTTGTACTGCTCAGTTTTAACTGAGAAATGAAAAATAACTTGTGGTTTTCGTAAATAACATAGCAAATTAAAAACTCTTGAAATTAACAAAACTGTACATAATGAGTATTTCTTACAAAGCGACTTCAAAACATTTCTACAGATACAAAGTCTTTTCTAGATTCAACAAAAATTATGCTGGGATAGACTATCAATAAAAAGATGGATGGTTGGATAACCGTAACTCGCTGTAACATGTGACCGGGTAATTGTATAAACATGACTCTAAGCAAACATTCAAAACAAATAAGGAAAAAATATAAAAGTGACCCTTCCTTGCCGATAATTGTCAGCCGGGCATATCACTGTCCGAAAGAGGTCGACTGCCACATGGGAATGAATAATGTGCCACGAGCTTGGCTCCCATCTCACCTTCGCACATACCTCGTTCAATAATTTTGAGAGCTTTTTTCCCATCCCAACTTATCCACTGAAATGTAGATCTCAGAGCATCAAGCTCCTGGACAGCATCACTGCTGATGCTCCAGTCGTAATTTACTGTTGCTGTCAAACGCGACCCCATCCACTGAAATGTAGATCTCACTTAGCTTTAAGCTCCTGGAAAGCATCAATATTGATGATCCAGTCGTCGTTGACTGTTGCTGTCAAATGCAACCCCATCCACTGAAATGTGGATCTCACAGGGCACCAAGCTCCTGGAAAGCATCACTGCTGATGCTCCAGCCGTAATTTACTGTTGCTGTCAAAAACAAACCTATATATCCACTAAAATGTGGATCCCACGAGGCATCAAGCTCCTGGTAAGCATCATTACTGATACTCCTTCCGTAATTTACTGTTGATGTCAAAAGCAATACTCCAATACTCCAATCCAATCGTTGGAAATATCATGTTTACTAAGCACACCTGGGCATACCAGCGTACATGCTATCGCATAAATCAAATTGCATAACATTATATCCTATAACTCAGGTACTCTACTTTCGACTTTCGCAATCTTCGCCACGATCTAGTTATTTGTGCACAATTGCACGTTTAAGCCTTCAAAACTTTTACTGTTTCATAATAACATACGGTGAACTGCAACGAGTTCCTTCCAGGTTGAACTTTCAACTTGTTCTTATAGAGACCACTTACACTCGCCTCCTTACCTTCTTGGTCAATACACTTGCAATAGCCAATTGAGGACGTGTCAGTATAAAAACACACACGGTGTAAGAAAAA